TACTAAGATGTTGGGTAGAACATGGGTAGATAGTTGGTGTGTAATAAACAGATGAGAGGCCTCGATGTTGTTGTTGTTGACCTAGTTATTCAGCGGAGTATGGATAACGACCACAGACTCCTTCTAGAAAGTCTTGTGGAACGCTAGTAGGTTCATAACCTGTAGGTGTTCTGAAAGATGTGTTCACCGGTGTACTCTATCCCCCTCATGGTTGCCTTTAGGATATCTATTATTGAGGAAACCCTTTAGCAATAATGTCCGTCCTGATGAAAATCCTAGATTAGGTCCCTTGAGATAGATGTTGTTTTAGGGACGTAAAGTGAGGATAACGGGAATGGGTAATCGGGATAGTGATTGGTTGGTGAAATTAAATATAATATATTTATTGTGGGTTGAAAACCCTATATGCTCACCGGGCTCCCAAGCCTGACCCACTCAGTTTTATTTGTATTACAGGAAGTGGCGCAAGGGCGTAAGATGGATAAATCATCGAGTTGTTTTGTTTACAAGTCTGTATATGTATATATTTGTTGAATGACTTGTAATGTTATCGTTTATGCTTTATGGTCCGTATCGGAACATGACACCCCGAGTTTTGATTATATAATGGAAATGCATCTCCTGATGAAATGCTTTGATAAATATTATTTTATCATGTTTTGTTTTGGGAACAAATTCCGCAACACTTTTAAATCAAAAGGATTTACTCTGAAATTATTTTAAAAAGCATAAATGAAATCGGTCTTTTCTGGCTGTGATTTTGGGGATGTCACACTTGCACACTTCAACCTCTTCCTTCTTCTTCTAAGCTTCAAACCTTCTTCACAAAGCCAAAAACACTCTCAAGAACAATATGGGGGCTAGGGGTTTGCTCTACAGCTCTCTGGAAGTGTTAGGGACAAGGACGCCAAGTTAGAGCGTTTAAATAGGGTGCAAACACCCGGACTAGGGTTTTTGCCCAAACAGGGTCTACTCGCCGAGTCCAAAGTTCAGTCCCCGCGCCTTATCCCACACCTACTCGGCGAGTTGGCCCATCAACTCGCCGCGTCCAAGGCAAAAATGCATTATTTTAAAATGTAAATAGCAAGGAGTACGTACCAGGAACCAGGTGCTACAGTTGGACTGGAGATAAAGGCAACAACAGATTCGTGGAGGTAGCTTCAGTGGTTTACGGTCTCAACGGTGGTAGTGCGTTGCCGGAAATGAAGAAAGAGATAAATGATGGCGGCTGGAGGGAGGTGGGGTGACGACTGCACATAAGGGGAGATTTAGGGTTTGCTAACTGGTGAAGCAAGGTTTTATACCCGGGTCTACTAAACATTATGCCATAACGACATAAACAGTCCCTCCTTCCCAATCTCTTTTCAAACTCGGTCCGTATTTTACCATTTCAACCCCAATCCTGGAAATCCCTTACAAGTTAAGTCCCATACTTTACTAATCATCCCCTCTTTCCATAAATCTTTTGATAATAAATCCCAAAACTTACCGAATAGTCCCTACCCTTAGAAAACTTTACAAATTAAATATGGAATTTTCCATTTCGCCCTTGTTTACCAAAATCTATTCAAATTAAATCCCGATAATTTATCAAGCGGTCCCTATCCTCATAATCAATTATGAAACCAGTCTAGACTTACACTTTTAACCCCAATCTCAAAGATTATGACGATTAACTCCTCGAGACCAACACCTTGCCATGTAATTATAAATTTTAGGGCTAATACTTAATCATTAATTTGATTATTTATTTATTAAATAAATAGGGTGTTACATCTGGGCATCCTACTCATCGAGCGCATGAACCTACCTGACGAGTAGGATGAATGTATGCATGGACTCGTCGAGTCCCCCCATGGACTCAGCGAGTTCACTCAACAGAATGTAGAAAATTTGAGTTTCTTCAACAATTTGCATCAAGTATCAAGAAAACAAGCCTAGACTCTGATACCACTAAAGGGTTTTGAGAATTCTAACACTCCTAAGGTGTACAGGCAACCCTAGAAACCTTTGATCTATGTTTTACTAAGATACATGCAAATTTGATTTTTCTAAGGTTTTTAACCTAGCTAGCATGGCATGGGTGTTGGGTTTTGAGCATTCTAACACTCTTAAGTGTACATGCAACCCTAAATATCTTGGATGTATGTTTTCTCTATTATATATGCAAATATGAATATTCCAAGGTATTACCCTATCTAGCTTACAATCTTTTGATACTTGGGTAATATAACAAGTTAGAATACATACCTCTTGATGTAGCTTGAGTCAATGATGCTCGAGAGCCTAGTGCCCCAAGTGTGACACCTAAAATGGTTCACACAACATCATCAACACTTGGAATAACCATGAGAAGAAGACACTTCATGCTCAAATCGGCTAGCCTTCATATATGTATCACTAGTGCCAATTTCTTGAGCTAAAGGGGTCCTTATATAGGATGCACATTAGGGTTACACCATGTAACCCATGACTTTACCCATTCCTTATGCTCCATGGGTTTTAACCTCCATGGAGTATCTATGGGTCACCACATGGGTTAAACCCAACATAAGAAATCATATATCATAAGCCCACATACATAAGAATGAATGATTTACACAATCAATCCCTATATATTTAATTAGTCTCTTTTGATCACTAAATGAAGTCAAAATTAATTCTTGATCAATACTAATTAAATAACATGATTTCATATTAATATATTAGAACTTATAATATATTAATATGTCACAAATGTCCTATTCTCACAAACGGTCTATCCAATTGTTCCGATGCCATGCAACCCAAATAGACCATTCCGAGTTGGGTCAAGTACATACCAATTATAGTTATGGACTTAGACACTAATCCAAAAATGGGGAACTTGAAACATAAAAGCTAGTAGGAGAACATACCTTTCTTGTTGCTTGGATTCCTTAAGAACTTTGTGATCCTAGCACCCCAAATGTAATGCCTCAAGTGTTTCACACAACACCACAACTCTTGAAATAACTTTGAGAGAAGTACACATACACTCAAAATCGGCTAGCCCTTTAGTTCTTCATTTAGTGCAAATTTTGGTAGCCCATGAGGTCCTTTTATAGTTGTGTCACAGTAAGGTTACACCATGTAAACCCTACTTGACATGGCTTTTCTTTTCCTCCATGATCCATGGGTTTTAACCTCCATGGAGCACCCTATGGGTTTTAGCCCAATTCAATAAACCATGGATCATTAGCCCACTATATAAGAATGGATGATTTACACAATCAACCCCATATATTTAATAAGTCTCTTTTTGATCACCAAATTAATTCCAAATTAATTCTTAATCAATACTAATTAAATAATATTATTAATATATTAGAACTTATAATATATTAATAATCCATAAGTGTTCTTTTCTTATTTTGTCTATCCAAGTGTCATGATGCCATGCAACCCAAATGAACCATGCAAACTGGGTCAAGTACATACCAAAAATAGTTATGAACTTAGACACCTAATCTAACAAAACCTTATCACAGGAAGATGCTCAAACTTTTCAAAAATGGCTATTTTGGACAAAAATACCCCCGTAACTGAAGCCATGTCATTGGAAGATGCTCAAACGTTTCAAAGATTTGGGTAGTTCCTTTTTATGGACAACCCAATACTTGGATACTATTATTGGTATTGCACCCAAACTATGTTGTTATTCTTGGGGAAGGCTTTAAACATGGTAGCTTTTATTCTTGTACTATGCGCATGTGTTAAACAACAACTCAATCAATGATTTAAAAAAAAATTAATGTTGGTTTCTTGGTAAAAAAACATTTAAACTACGAAAATATTAGGAAGTTTTTAATAGTTAAAAGTTAGTAAAAGAAGTGTTTAATAAGATTTCCATAATATATGTGTAAGTATAAGGCTACACGGTGTGGTGATGGGGTCACTGGCGGTATCCGACATGTCACCCTTTCACCGCCAGTGAACATCACGCCGTAAAGGTGGTTTTACCGCTGGTGGTCTTCTACCGTTGGTGAAATTTTAAATTTTGTAGAATTTTGGGGAAGGGGACGTTGCCAAACGATCGACAACAACTTGTTTGGAAAATTTCCCTTTTATTTATTATTATTATTATTATTTAACATCTACTATATATACAAATCGAATTTCCAAAATTTCACCACTATACACTCTCAAAAATATTTTTTCATTGAAAATCTATTCTTCCAACAATCCAAACTATTCCAAACAAAATGCTTCAAATCAATATGTTAACAACCCTTTCACACTTTTCGGCTATGATCCGTCATCACCACCACCTTACCGACCACAAATGGACGGTGTTCCTAGCTATTATTCATGATTCCAAATGCCCCAACAATTCCATTTCCAATCTCAACCTCAAACTCAACCATCTCAAACCTAATTTCCATCCCAACCGCCATTCATACCTTTCAACCGAATTATTTTCTGATTCCGAACACAAAGAACAGTAACAACAACCTCAACAACAAAAGAAAGGGAAGGTTGATCCGAGAAGATGGACACAAAAAGAAGAAGTTGAGTTAACAAGGGCATGGGTCGACATATCTAAAGATGGTGGCATGTGAAATGGTCAAAATCGTGATCAATTTTGGTTACATATCACGAAGCCCTTTTGTAAGGGAATGGGTCGAAATCCAAATGGAATCTTATGAACAAAGTTGTCACACATTGTAATGGAATTTACACAAACTTTGAAAAGCAATGGGCTAGCGGAGAAAGTGAAGCGAGTTTGTTGAAAAAAACACACGCTACGTTCCACGATGATATGCTAAAGCCTTTTAAGTTTATTCATGTATAGGAAATTGTCAAAAGAAGTGTTAGTTGGAGGGAACTTGCAACTCATGAAGAAATTGCTAATTCCCCAAAAAAGAAGCCAAACATCTTAATATTCGTGCTCACAACGAGTCTCATCGGATGGTCACGTAGGCATTAATCTTAATGATTATACCGACGTCATCGAAGAAATATGCCTGCTTCCTACTCTAATGGGAAGGGACAAAACAATAGCTCGAGCAAAAGGAAAAGGGAAAATGACATCTTCAAATTCTTCAGTCGGAACTGAGCGGTCAGTTAGATCAGAAGAAATGATGACACAAGTGAATTCCGAGAGGCATATGACTGTAACCGTCTGACTTACTGAATATACGTTTTTAATGCAATATGTGAGAGATTTCGACCCCGAAGATCAAAAGGCGGCTAAAGCAATGAAGCAGTCGATTCGCGAAAAATATAAGCTAAACCGCAAATGAAATTTTGATGTTATGTTTTTTTTTCTAGTTGTTGTTTTTTTTTTTTGTTATTTATTTATTTATTTATTTATTTTCATTTCATGTTTTTAATTTTTTTTTTTTTTTTGGTTTTTAATGTAATTTTTAATTTCATGTTATTTATTTACTTTTAGGATTTCTAAAATGTAATTTTTAATTTTAGTATGATTTTTAAAAAAAGTTCTTATTTTTTATTGAAATTAAAAAAAAAAATCATATAAACCATTTACTACATCCTAATCTATAGGTAAAAATTATAAAAAAAATATGAAAATTAACGTGAGACCTAGATGACACTTTTTTACCATTGGTAAAAAAAAAAACACTAATATAATGTTAAATTAAGTTTTGTATAACCAGTGACAAGGGGTCCTGGTTTCATCCTCTTTTAGATTTTTAAAAAAAATCACTTATACAAATTAATTAATATGTAGATCGACTAGCATGCTTTTTACATATGAATTTATAGCAATTTTTATTGGTTAAATCCATGGGCGTGTCGATGCAATTTCTAGGAAGTGCAATGGGCATGGTAGCATTAACATATGCACCGTTTCCCCCTTTTTGTTTCTCTATAATTTGAATCAGACTCCCTTCCACTACCACCATGAAACTTCCACGATTCCGAATCGGTTGAGATTGAGCTTGTTTTCTCAAGGCTTTTCTTCTTCCTTCCAGGTTAGACCTCTAAATTTCCTATCAACAGATCCGTTTTTCCTATTCTATTTGTTAAATCAACTGCAATTTCAACCTGTTTGATCCAACACGCATGCGTTTTTCTTCACGAATCCATGTTATGTCAACACTTTTAGCTTTATCCGCTGTTTGATTTCGTTGATTAGGTTTACATGGTTCTATAGAATCTTTGAACAGAGAATTTCGATCATTAAGACGAAACAAAAAAAAAAAAAATCATATAATGGGATTTGAAAGATTAGGGCTAGATTCCAACACTGGTGAGATCTAGTATGGAATGTGGATCAGGGAAACATGGTTTCTCTTTTTCCTCTTTGATTCAAACAAATCTACCATTGTTACTTTACTTCTTCCAACTTAGTCATGATTTTCTAATCAGTTAGGGTTCAAATAATTCGGTTTGTAGATTTAGATAAGAAATTTTAAGAAAACTTGATATCAAATCTTGAAATGGGATTTTCATGTAACTTGATGGATTTAGGGAGTATCACATTACTTTAATGATTGAACATTTTAGGTGGTATTTTTCTTTAATTCCTGGAGATATTAAGCTAAAAACCATGGTAAATTGTGTTTATTACAATTTAAAACTCGAAAAAAATTACTTAATTGTTCAATTACTGTGTATGACTTATTCCATGTTATGATCATATTACATTTTATTAAATCATTGAATCTTTCATATATGGTGTCAAGCGTGTTTCTATTTATCGTGTAAAAATATCCCATAACAACATGAAAGGGCTTTTTATGTTTCTTTAGTGTGCTAATAAGTTGTTTTTGGTATTTAAATTCATACACCTAAAATTAATCTTACACTATTTTTATTATGTTTATTATATGAAAAATAATGCGACAACAACATGACTATATAATAGTTACATTGTAACAACTTTAACATGCCAAAGGTGATTTTTGGCCTTTGTTTAGTGGGCTTATAATTCATATTTCATGGAATACTTTTATAGCATACAAATAAAAAAAAATATATATTAAATATTAAAACTAGTTTTGTATTATTTTAAGTCTATTTATTTTGCAGAACATAATGTTGTGCGAAATCGAATGTCTGCAACACGTGTCAATCCCAACAAAAGATCTGGATACAAACGGAACAATTCCCGCAAGTTCAATCGTAACAAATCTTTTAAAACAATTAACAATATACAAAGCTCTAGAAGAATTCGGTTATTTTATCGGTGTAACAAAATTAAAAGCAATTAAAAATGGAATAAATCACGAATCAAAAAAATACATAGATTTTTTAGTAGCATTCAATTGTCGAACCCTTTTACCCGTTAAAGGTGAAACCATGATTGGAATTGTTCACTCGGTAAACCGGTTTGGGGTTTTTTTAAAATCGGGACCTATGAAAATTGTTTATTTATCAACAAGAAAAATGCCAAATTATTATTATGTGGATGAGGGTGAACCGGGTTTTTTGAGTAATGATATGTCGAGGATTGAGAAGGATGTTGTGGTCCGGTTCGTGGTTTTTGCTACAAGGTGGAACCAGAGGACACGTGACATTAGGGTATTGGCTAGTATTGAAGGCGAGTCACTTGGACCGGTTAGTACGGCCGGTTTGGATGGGTTCGAGGTGTAGTTTGGTCTAAAGTTGAAAGTAAAGGGGTTAAAGTTGTATAAATGATTAAATGTTGTTTTTTTTGGGAATGAAGTAGGAAAAGAGTATATTTGTAAGTGAAAGTTAAAGTGAAATGAGAATTATGTTTAGTTTTTGTCTTTTTGAAGATAAATTCACAGTAATAGTCCCTTGGGTTATGTGTATTCTTTAGATTTTACCCTATTATATATAAATATATAATATGCTTTCAATTAAGGGTAAGATTTAATTAAAATCTGTTAATTGCTGATTTTGATAAATTTTCTATTGATTAGTGAATTTATTAATTTGATTTTAATCTTTTGTCATAAAGCTTTTCTTCAAGTGTTTATATATGTTCTAACTGGTGTTCCATTCATTGTTTTGATAATTTTTGTCACGTGTTAACAAGTTGGTAGTTTTATACTTTTATAGATGTTTAATAATATTAATGGTGTTATTATTACTATTATTATTGTTGTTATTAATCATAAGATCATATAATCTATACATAAGACGTCATTATTTTATGATCACAAAATCAATATTTGGTTTCAAATCAAGGTTACTCTTTTGGATTAGACAAATCAATATTGTAGAACCATATTGTAAAAAAATATAAATGGGAAAACTAAAAAGAAGATAAATGGAATCTATTTTATTTTAGTTATTTTTATGATTTAACAATTATATTATAATTTTGTCAATTAACGCCACTCAAGTTTGACAACTTGTTCTGTAACGGTCATTTTGACCTACAAACCTAAGAACAATATTAGGATGACCTGGAAATCTGGATCGAACTTGTGATATGTTACAAAGTATAAGGACTAAACTTGTAATTTATTATAAAAATAAGTTTTAATAAAATGATGTATCAATAGACAAAGAAATGAAGGTCTAGAGGGCCATGGTGAGAAACATGTTGTAGAGATGCACATGGATGATATTTGTCGGGTCTACCTTCATCAAATATCGACTTTGAATGAAATTAAATTTTTGTTTTGTATATATAAATTTTTTTAATCTTTTTTCTTTTAGCAAACATATATATTTTTTATTTAACAATTTCCTCAATATTCGGTATTTATACTGGTCCTAACCGACACTCATCTGTCATTAAAATATATTTCAATCAATATATTAATGTTTATTAATTTGAGTATAACAGTTAATAACTATCATTTAAATGTTGGTTTATTGTTATGTATCCTTATGAGTTATGAGCTATTAATTTCACCCTCCACCTCCACCTCCGACCACCACCACACTTCATTCCACCACCACCACCATTCTAGAGATGTCGGTTTTAGGACCCAAGGAAAATATGTTTCAATGAAAAAAAAAGATGGATGATTTTTGGATAAAAAATGGTTGAAGATGAAGAACATGCCATAATGTGTGCAAATCAATATCTAAACAAACATTCTTAAGGATGCTCTTGACGTGCATATTCTTGACGTTCATATCTAAACTGAAGATGAAAATCGAGATCTAAACCAAGTCCTAAACCAAAACGTTTAAATCATCATTTTTCTGAAAAATCAAATTGGTTAAATCTACATTTGCTTGAAACAAAATCAAATCGCTTAATCACCATTTTTTTTTTGAAAAATCATGGAGATCGATTTGGAAAAGTTTGGAGAAAAAAACTGGAAAAATATGAAAAAAAACATGTAAACCATCACTATTTACGCATCTAAACAAGATCTAAAACCTAAAGTATTACCAAATCGAAACAAATTGATTTGCTAAATAATAACGAAGCAGAAGTTCATAGGGCAACATTCAATAATAACATTAATTTAAATTTTCATAATTATTGGTGGTTATATTGCATAGTTAGAGAGTGTTTAAAAAAAAGTGTTTGAAAAAGCTTAAATTTTTTTTTTCATAATTATTGGTGGTTATATTTGATACTTAGAGAGTGTTTGAAAAAGCTTAAAAAAAGTTTTCATAACTTATTATCGTTTCATACGTGTTTATATATATATATATATATATATATATATATATATATATATATATATATATATATATATATATATATATATATATATATATATATATATATATATATATATATATATAGAGAGAGAGAGAGAGAGAGAGAGAGAGAGAGAGGTTATATGAAAAACAAAAAACCCTAAAAATCATAAAAATGAATAAAAAAATTCTTAGAGATTACAAATTTTTTTTGACTTTATATTCTTAAAAATCACAGTTTTTTTTATAAATTCGTTGAAAAAAAATTAAAATTTTGATTTTTGATTTTTGATTTTATTTATTTATTTATTGTTTATTTTTTTAATTTATTTTTTGGTTGTTTTTCAAAAAAAAGTTTCAGCAAATTTATATAAAAATGTGTTGTTTTAAAGAATATAAAGTCAAAAAAAGATTTGTGATCTCTAAGTATTTTTTTAATGAATTTTAGGGTTTTTTTATTTTTTATAGAACATATATATATATATATATATATATATATATATATATATATATATATATATATATATATATATATATATATATATTAAAAACAACTTATAATGGTTTTATATAAGAGTCAAGTCATTTTGATAAATTATTCCTCTTAATTTATCAAAAGCTCCTAAATATTTAAAAATAAAAAAATAAATAAAAACTCTGTTTTGTTACTATTATAAACTAATTAGCTAATAAACTAAAAAAATAATTTAACGTACTTCCAAACACCCCTTTAATAATACCCCAACCTTTTGTGAGGGGATTGGAACTTGGAAGAACGATCCATAAAAATGGTGAGGACCTAATTGTGGGGCTACATAGTACATGACAAAATAAGAGAGTATATAAAAAAAAAGTCTCGCGAGTATGTAAAATGCTTCAAATTTGTGGGTCAATTATAGAGAATCATCAATAAAGTTATTTAGTTTACAATTTGATTCATTTATACCAAATATGGTTAGAAAAAGTAATAATCAAAACTACATCTGCATTAAAGTTGTTTTTGTGGTCAAAAAATAAACGTACACAATTAGAGGTCAAAAGTTAAAAGAAAAGGACTTGAAAGAAAAGGATAAGAAGGCCACTTTGTGTGAGGGGACTACAATAATATCACATACGAAGGATGATAGCCTAGTTGGATTTTTACCCAAATGAAGGACCATGTATAAAAAGGTTATTGAGTATGTAAAATGTTTCAAAGATGTCATTCGATTATAAGGTGGTCTTATATACAACAAAATGGCTAAAAATAAGGAAAATACCTTTTACACACATGTTATTTTATGGTCAAAACATAAACATACAAAATTAGGGTTGAACTAAAAAAAAAAAAACCCTCAAAATTAGTAAAGGAGAAAGGAATCATCATGCCACCATCATGGACACTCTGTATGGAGGAGGGTGAATTCGTAGCGGTGGAGAAGAGGTTGTCGCCAGGAAAAGGTCACTAGTCGGGTGGATGTTTGTGGGAATTGTATGCTATAAATATTTAATGTGTTAGTTTAATTTAATCAAAACTAGTTTTTATTTAACTTTTTAAATTTTATAAAAAACATCCCATGAATTTGCAAAAATCTTAGATGATGTGTCCAAACTTCGAAATTGAAGATAAAATTATTAAAACTGTATATTATGATGTTGCAAGAATATGATGAATCTGCATCGTAAGATACAATAATATACACTAGTTGTGATGTTTTTGATACTTTACAAAAATGCATAAAAAATTCATTAATGTTATGATTATAAGTTACCAGTTTATAACCCGTGGTAACCACAGTTACAAAAATAATTAAACTTTAATAGTAAAAACTCAAAATTATTAATCATTTATTTTAAATAAATTATTAATTAAGAGTTTTTTTAGTTATATAAAATTATAATCATTGATTCAAATAAATATGTAAAATTATATCACTTTATAATTTATATTAATTTTATTTTAATTTTTATTCTAATGTTATTAATTTGATGTAATTAGATTGGAAAATTTAAAATTTGAAACTTGAAATAGAGAAGGAAAATTTAAAATTTGAAACTTGAAATAGAGAATCAATAGTCTGACAAGTGGTATACATTTATTAGCAGACATAATATGTTGATACATAACAAAAGAAAAATAAAATATGCATTAATTATAAGGTTTAATATGCTAGCACATATCAAAAGAAGAATAAAACTATTCTTTTATTATAATAGATATCATAATCTATATTTTACTATACTATCTTATTTTTTGAAATTTCTGATACAAACCTGACCATCGAAGAAACTATCAAAATAAGACTCATAACAGTTTTAATAATTGATAGTTATTTTACATGGATTGTAATACACATAGAATCAAAGAAAGTACATGTTTCCTTTTTAATAGGTTGAGTAATAATTTAGATGATGGTATTTTATACGTTATCTCTCAAGATAAATAATGTGTTGGACCCTAGGCAAAAGAACAAGGAGGCGTCATGACCCATGGGATAAAAGCAAGTGTGGTTTAATAATTCAAAATTCAATTTTACGACATGTCACTTTGTCATGTACTTCTAGTTGTTATGTATGATATGTCAAGTTAAATAACAATTTGATGAATACACGTCCTTATGGTATTTGGTAAACAATGACAAGGCACTTCTTAAATCCATCATGTGAATTCAAAACAATATATTTTATTTTTAAATATATAAATTCAAATATTTTTAGCTAAAAACAACATTGTTCAAAAGATATATAAATGCATAAGACTTCTTAAATTGTTTTATTATAAAATTTAAATTATTTTATATTGATACAGATTGCTTTTAAAAGCAAATGATTGGTTTGATAAGATTTTAACTGATTTAACAACATCAATATATTTCAAAATCTAGTTAATATAGGTATGAGTTATAGATATCAACAATCATTTTGAGATGATATATAACTAAATTGTTAAACAAAAATGTGAATTATATGTAAGATATCTTTAAATAAAACAAAAGCATGTATTAAAATAAATAAAATTATACATTATACATTGAATAATCACTATGTATATATGCATCATCATCATACATTGATACATGATGATACTATACTACCCTATGGAATTCCCAATATTGAACACCGAACATTGTCTAAACGGTCTTGAAAAAGCTCCACCAGCACTCGCCGGACACGCCGCCAGCCCCACCGTCGGTGGGACCATACAATTATAACTCAAACACAACGCCACCCCATCCGGCAACACCATGTCCCTTGGATTCTCCACCGGGAAC